GAGAGCTGGAAACCATTCTGGTGCAGACATGATGGGCTGAATGGCCTCCTGTGCTGTCACGCTCTGTGATTTCTGTAATTCATTTTGGTGCAAGGAGTTGAAGATTGAATAATTACATGAAGACAGACTATTAGAGGAATTTCTTTCTGTCTAAGTTTCCAGCTACGAGTGATCTGACATCACTTGACATCACTAATGATGCAGTCCAAAAATCAGCATGATAGCTGTTAACCCCTTACACTCCATTATCTTACAGTAAGATAAGTGGCACCACAGGAACATAGGAATGAGGGTAGACCATTCAGCCCCTCCAACCTGTTCCACCATTTAATGAGGACATGGCTTATCTGTGGCCCAACTCCATATGACATCAACCCATATTCCTTAATATGTTTGCTTAACAAAATATTAAATATCTCAGATTCAACATGAACAACTGATCCAACAATCACTGTTATTTATGGAAGATAGTTTCAAACATCTACCACCCTTTGTGTGTAGAAGTGCTTCCTAACTTGTCTCCTGAACAGGCTGCCCTAATTTTCAAATACTGCCCTCTGGTTCTAGAATGCCCAACCAGCAGAAATAGCTTATCTTTATCTACCCTGTCTTTTCCTCTTAATATCTCGAAGACGTCCATCAGATCACCCTTAACTTTTTAATTCTAAAGAAAAAAGGCCTAATTTGTATAATCTCTCCTCATAACTTAACCCCTGAAGTCCAGGTATCATTCTTGTCAGTCAAAAAGGAGGCTGGAGGAACCCAGCAAGCCAGGCAGCATCTGGAGGAAAGGAGCCGTCCTGACGAAGGATAATACCCAAAATGTTGACGGCTCCTTTCCTCCAGATGCTGCCTGACTTGCTGGGTTCTTCCAGCCTCCAGGTTGTCTACCTCAGATTCCAGTGTCTGCAGTTTGTTTCTTTGTCTCTAATCGTTCTTGTAAACCTTTCTAAATTGTGGTCCCAGATCTGTTCACAGTACTCCAAGGGATAGAGCAAGAGACCACAGAAAGAACATCAGATCCCAAAAGAGCACATTGTTATATCATTTCAGATCAGCCAGATCCATATCCTTATATATACGAACGCCAAGATTGCTGAATCCCCTGACACCTCAAATCTTCAACTGCCACACCTCAAATCCCAATTTCATTTTTTATTCTTCAAACGTGTGACGTAGGTGTCACTGGTTAGGGCAGCAATTATTGTCCATTCCTAATTGCCCAGAAGGAAGTGAAAGATCCATTGCTGTAGATGTAGAGTCACGTATACCAGACTGGGTAGGGACAGTAGATACCTTTCCAAAAGGACGTTACTGAACTAGATGGAGTTTTCCTGGCAATCAACAATGGCTTCAATGATCATCATTAGACAGTTAATTCCAGATTTTTACTGAATTCAAATTCCACCATCCTGCCCTGGCAGGATTCAAAGCTGGGTCTCCAGAACATTACCCAAGTCTCCAGATTAGTGATCTTATGATAATACCACTGGGCTGTTGCCTCCCCAAAGTCTCAACCCTTCTATGGTCATGAGCCATATCTCAACCCTTCTATGATCAAGCTTTCAATTCACAAAGTTTGAGGTACAAGTGAAGCTTCAACTGTTTTTGATGTTGATTGACGAAAAAATTGGGCTGAGGAAATCAAGAGAGCTCGCTGGCCCACCTTTTAATCATGAAACAATTCCAACGAGCTCCCCATCTAAGCACATGTAGGATTTCCACCTGAAGTGGCAGTAGGTATACAATATGCCTGCCCAAATATTGTCAGATCCACTCCCATTATTTGAACCTTAGCAAATTTAAAGAAAACTCCCTGGTACATCCCTGGCATCCAACATGATTGGAGACTCTGGTGGAAGGAAGGTGAGAATGGAGTAGATTTTTTAAAAATCCCTGTGACTAATGTAGAGTGATCTATTGCAGAATGATCAGTTGCAGGGCAATTGATTTCTGAGGGGTCAATTGCATTCCCCAGGCATGGTTCATGGTTTAAAATCAGGCCTCACATTTAAGTGTCTCCAGGTACCGATACTATGGAAAACCCTTCTTGGCGTTTGAGACTGGCAGCTCAGTCCCAATGTAATAGACGATGCTGCCCACCCACATTAGTTCAAATCAGGTGGAGTTGGTGGCACGGGACAAGGATGAAGGAATAGACAGAATGGTGGAACTGCAGTCTAGCCTCCCGCAGGCTTGGCACCATGTGTCAGAGCATTGTCCCAATGTGTTTAAAACTGACTGGTCAGCCAGTGAGGAGAGGAGGGGGTTGGTTGATCCAGATTTGGTTCAAGTTAAAAATCTGGCCACATGGATGAGTAGAGGCTTATGGAAGGAAGACCAACCAGAATTACAGCAGAATTAGTCGGCCTGAAGGCAACGGATTTCTGAATATAAGTTTCAGTAATGCACGAGCTGAAATAATGGCCTGAATCCTCCAGGGGTGTACCTATGGGATTGTTGCTGCTGCTATGTAATTCTTCCACCCTGACTGAGTCCCATATTTCTTATTTTGGGGCAGCATGGTGGCTCAGTGGTTAACACTGCTACCTCACAGTGCCAGGGATGCAGATTTGATTCCACTTTCAGATGCCTATCTGTGTGGAGTTTGCACGTTCTCCCTGTGTCTGCATGGGTTTCCTCCAGGAGCTCCTGTTTCCAACCACAGTCTAAAGACCTGCAGGTTAGGTGGATTGGCCATGATAATTTCCCATAACGTCCAGGGATGTGTAGGCTAGGTGGGTTAGCCTTGGGAAATGCAGCGTTACAGGGATAGGGCTGGGTGGGGTGTGGTGGGGTGTGGGTTTAGATGGGATGCTCTTCAGAGGGTCGGTGTGGACTCGATGGTGCAGACACCACACTAGGGATTCTATGATCCTACTGACTGTGCGGAAATGCAGGAAGAACCGCAAATTAAAATCCCTCTTCAGAGCACTGGATTGTCATGGGGAGCCAAATGCAAGAATCTCATAGCAGCCTGATTCATAATTGTTTAAAGAAGCCAAGCACCACTTGGCTGTAAATAAGGGCAGGGGTTTTCCTTCTTTAGCTCCATAAGCACAAGGAACGGGGAGCCAGAAGCCTCTTGGGGCAGGGGCTTGTAGAGTGGGTACAGGTGCATGGAAGAGTGGAGTAGGAAGGTCCTAGTGGTCCTGGGAATGTTTGGGAGGGTAAGGGGAGATGTGGCAGAAAGAGTCAGTCAAGGAAAGAGAATAAGGGGCCTAAGGGGTCTGTCTGTTCTGAGTACAGGGCTTCCAGTTTATCTGTATCTCCATTTCCCTCACTGAGATTTCACTCTGAAAATATCCTTTATGGATTTTAAGGATGTTCCCAAGTCCAGAACGAGGAGTCACAGTTTAAGGATACTAGTTAGGCCATTTAGGACTGAGGATGAGTAGAAATTTCTGCGCCTGGAGTGTGGTGAGCCTGTGGAATTCTCTGCCCCAGGAAGCAGTTGAAGCCAAACCTTGAAAGTTTTCAAGAAGTTAGATACAGTTCTTAGGACTGAAGGGATCAAAGTGTTTGAGGAGAAAGTGGGAACAGGAGACTGAGCCATGATCAGATTGAATGGTAGGGCAAATTCAAAAGGCTGAATGACCTACTCCTGCCCCAATTTTCTATGTTTTACAATGCATGGAAGGAAGTGCAAGCTGAATCTACAAGTTCTGCCCCACAGAGTGGTGACTGTAATACTGGATACTAATATGAACATTTTATTAAGAGTTAATGCAAAAACATATAGTTTCTTCCATAATAAAGAAAATATCCTTCACCCTTCTGTAACCATCAATTGATGCCAACCACAAGGCTTGCCAAGTACATTTAGCACCCTGGATAAGCTGGTCTTCATAAATAATGACGGTTTACTTCTGAGCAAAATAGAATAATTGTAATGCTTACAAGTGAAAATTAATTTTGAAGCATACCTGTGCCAACTTTGTGGTTTCAATTCTTAGATTAGTGGCAATGGAGTTGGGGAGGAAGGTTGTTGTGAAGCCTTTGTGCCTGAACAGAAGAGTCTTTTAATAGGCCACACCACTGGCATTTTGAATTTTAATTCGAATGGGAAAAGTGGGGAAGAGAGAAAGCCAAAGCTATGAGTTTGGGAAAGGCCTGCAGTTGACAGAATCCTATACATACTGTGTGAGATATTGAGCTTCACATTATCAGAAAGATATTGAGAGTTTTAGAGGACACAACACAGTTACAGAGAGGTTGCCCGGGATAAAGAAATAAACTGGGTCAATATTGTGGGATGATGTAGTAAAAGCATGACAAAAGGGTAGGCCCATATTGATTGGAGCCCATTACTTCTAATAGTTGAGTGGGTTTCAACAAAGGTGATGAGGGACAGATGATGAAAGGCAATGAGAGAAAAAGGAAAAACAAGAGGGCAAAATTTTAAAGTGAAAGGCATTAAGTTAGAGGGGATTTGAGCAAAATAAACTTTTTCACCCAGTGGATGATGAGAATTTGGAATGCATTGCTGGGATGGACAGTTGAGAAAACCTCACAATTTTTAAAAAGTACTTGAAATAAGCACTTGTCATAACATTCAGGGCTATGGTCCCAGTGCGGGGAAGTGGGACGAGTGTAGGTGGCAGTACATCTTGGGCGGTACAGACTCGATGGGCTGTGTCATTTTATGATTCTCCATATACAGAAACCAGTGTGACCATGGAGCTCAGGCTAGGGTTAATCAGCCGTTTGAACTCTACATGAAAGGCAGTGATTTTTATGATTATGGTGATGTTTGTGTGTGTGTGTGTGATGGAGATGTGGAACTGGTTGAGCATTTTGGAGCTTTCCTTTCATTATGAAGGAGGAATTCACCAGCCTGTTACTTCACACAGTAAAACCAGTCGGGAAGAGTCAATGATGGGGCCAACGGTAGACACAATGCACAAGGAGTGGCCTTGATGTTTCTTTGCTCCTCTATCTTTACTCTGCCACGATTACTGTGCAGATCAAACAGCTTGTTTGCTATTTTCTTTTTCCAGACCAACTCCATGGCGGGCTGCGGAGATTTGTGCATGACCCAAATGAGAGGGGAACCACAGCAGCAGCAGCGCTATGGAGTACGATCCTATCTGCACTTATTCTATGAGGACTGCACTGGCTCAATGCTGGAGGATGATGAGCCAGATGAGCTGAACAGGCAGCGCTCCTCCGGTGGCTGGCGGTCAGCCCTCTGGAAGGTAAGATGCTTCACTAGAACGTTCTCCATCTAACCTCGATACAGCATCTTTAACAATTTGCCTTTAACACAGTAAAATGCTCTCCCAAGGTGCTTCCACATCCAAATAACACATCATTGGAGATATTAGGAAAGCCATTAAAAACGTGGTCAAAGAGGTGGATTTTACAGAGCCTTTGAAAGGAGAAGAGAGACAAGAGGCAAGACTGAAAGGCTTCGGAAGCCTGGGTGCCTGAGTAGCTAAACTCAGAACTGTGCAAGCAGCCTGAGTTAAAACATATATCTTTGCCCAAGTTTGTGGTCACCTGCCTCTAAGGTCTGTTGCTTTGATACAGCTCCCGGGTGAGGCAATTTAATGGTGCCACATTAAATCAAGCTGTTGTCATCATTATACAAGAGCTGTTACTGTCTCAGTTCTCTTCTAGGATTGAGACACAAGCACACATGCACAGAGGCAGACATACACACGGAGGCAGGCACAGATAGACACACACACACACACAAACATACACACGGGCAGATACATACTAGCACAGGCAGACAGATACTTACAGAAATATATTAATACAGGCAGACAGACAGATTCAGAAACACACACACACACACACACACAGGCAGACACACACTCACTCATACAGACAGACACACACATACTCAAAGTCCTGACCTCTTACATTGGAGTTTTCAGACAGTTTCCCCCGGATGTGAGGAACATGCCTATTTTGCATCCCTCTGAACAGCAGGAAATGATGAACATTGCTCATTGGACGGACAGTCACAGCAGGATTAAGGAAGTCAATAATTACATTGTGTTAACATTGTGTTAAACTGCTGGATGTTATATGAGGCTCCTAACACAGATACCTAGGAGCGATTAAACCTGTGAAGTGGACCAGACATTTTGGTGCCTTAATCTGTAGAATAATGCTCCCTGGACCTGGCTCTTCATGGAGTATGAAGCATTGTAGTCAGGATACCTACACTTCTGGGCATTGGTTTTACATGACAACATGTTATTTAATCTGACGGACTTTGATTTTGCCTGTGCACCAGCTGAGATGTGAATGGTGAGAGCAGACTGAGATTCAGGTCTACCCAGGAGCACCCAAAAAAGACAAAAGACTCCCTCACTTTAAAGTCTTGTGCAAACGTGAGCAACTTTTCTTAAGTTTGGTAAGATCTTGGATCGCACCTGTGCCTCTCAAGAGCAAGAGGCTTCATTAAAATCTAGACTTGCACTACACCCTACTTAGCAAACCATGACCAAAATATTTCCTGTAAGCAATAGATTAGCATTTTAACATTGGAGAGTAATTTGCTTTATCCGTTGTGTTTTTCCAATTCTGGGCCTCTTTAGTATCTGTGTTTTTAATCACTGCTCCATTGGTGGTCAGCTACTTGAGTCCTTGCTGTCCTCCTGTGAGACCCTCCTTTAAATCTAACCTATGGTCCCCTCCTCTAATAACTCACTAGATACCTGGAGTGATTGGAACAAGAGGCAGGTGGATCTCTTTGAGTATGGGATCCTTGATTGGCCCAGGTTAGCAGCCCCTTAATGTCAAATCTTGTCTACTAGTACTTGCTTCTGTGAAATGCCTGGCAATATTTTATTAAACTAAAGGTGTTATATAAAAGTAGGGAGTGAGAGGTGGTGGCCTAGTGATAATGTCACTGGACAAGTAATTCAGAACCCCAGACATGGGTTCATTAAAAAATGGTGAAATATGAATTCAATTTTTAAAACACAAACTGCAGTTAAGAATCTAATGGTGCCCAAGGAATCAATTATCGGCAGAAAAATCCGTCTGATTCACTAAAGCCCTTCAGGGAGGAAATTCTGAAGTCCTTGCTGGTCTGGCCTACATGTGACTCCAAACCCACAGCAATGCAATTGACTCTTAAGTGCCGTCTGGGCAATTAGGGACAGGCAATAAATGTTGTCCTAGCCAGCGACACCCAATTCCCATGGAATAAAAAGTAAAATGTGATTTGTTTACCATTCCCACTTGGCTTTGCTGCTGATGTACTACACCAAGCTGTCTTCCAGTCAGTTCTATTTTAGAATGCTGTAGACGTTGGCTGTTAAATATTAAATCAGCACAACTTGTCTGATAACTTATCTCAGGCAACAAAATATGATGTGAAAATACAAATGGATGTTTACAAACCCACAACATTTATCATTCCAGGAAATAGTCATGATTCTGGGAAATTTCTTCCCTAAATAATTTATTCCGGTTGAATGAGTCTATTAAATTCCAGGATTTTGTGTTGTATACTTCTATGGCCAGCATTGCCATCCAAAGGGGTAATTCCATTCCCTATTTTGTTCTCACTCATTGGATCAATTTCCAGACCTGAGTTGAGTGTTGTGCTTGGTAGAGCTTGGATTATACCCAATCGCAAAGGTTACACTTCATCCATGTCCAGAGTCTGAGTGTATCTGTGTGTGAGAAAGAGTGTGTGTGCGCGCGTGTGTGTGTGCGCGCGTGTGTGTGTGTGTGTGTGTGCGCGCGCGCGCGCACGCGCGTGTGTGTGTGTGTGTATGTGTGCGCGTGTGTGTATGTGTGCGCGTGTGTGTGTGTGTGTATGTGTGCACGTGTGCAAGAGTGTTCATAACCATAGAGATCTACAGCACATATCTACAGCCTTTTGGCCCATCACGACTGTGCCAGTCAAAAATACCCACCTAACCAGTCTAATCCCATTTTCCAGCTCTTGACCTATAACTCTGTATGCCTTGACATCACAGTGCACATCTAAATTCTTTTTAAATGTAATGAGGGTTTCTGCCTCAACCACCCTTACAGGCAATGAGTTCCAGATTGCCTCCCTCCTCTGGGCGAATTAGTTTTTCCTCACATCTCCTGTAAACCACCTGCCCCTTACCTTAAATCTAAGTCCTCTGGTCACTGATCCCTCCATCAAGGGGGAAGTTACTTCCTGTCTGCCCTATCTATGCCCCTAATAATTTTACACATCTCAATCATGTCTCCTCTCTATCTCCTCTGCTCAAGAGAAAGCAACCCCAGTCTGTCCAATCTTGCTACATAACTAAAACTCTCCAGGCCAGGCAACATCCTAGTAAATCTCCTCTGCATCCTTTCCAGTGCTATCACATCCCTCCTCCAATTCACTTTCTTCTGAAATTGGGTCTCATGATAACCTTAGCCAGTCCGTTCAGGTGTGCAAGTGTAATTTGCACGAGTTTGTGTAAGTACATATATGAGGGTGTGAGTATGCAAATGTATGTGTGTGTGTGCACATGTGAGTAAATGCACGTGAGAATTCATGCATGTTGTACTCCAGAAAACCAGGGTGGTAAAGGATAAACTAGAGTTAAATCTTACACATTTTTATAAGCATTTACTCACAGACACGCACATTGCAAACATTTCAAATCCAGTTAATCTAATTTCAAACTATTCTTTTACATATGTTTTGTAATCAACCTATTCACTGATATTATTAAACACCTCTGAAGTAGGTTTGGACTTGAACCTGGCCTCCTACCTCAAAGGTAGAGACACTACCGCTGCACCCACAAGAGTTCCCACTTTTCTTTTACATAAGAGTACAAGCCAATCCTCCATTAATTCTCACTTGTTGCACATAATCAAACACAGTCAAAATACAATGACGGGAGAACACATTTGAATGGGTGACTGGGTGAAAAAGAGGTTCTGTGTGAGTCTATGTTTTTGATTTGAGTCTGAGTGACTGTGTGTCTTGATTGTGAGTGACATTCATTCACATTGGGCATTGCTAGTCAGGCCAGTATTTATTGCCCATTTCTAATTACCCAGAGGGCAGTTCAGAGTCAATCATATTGCTGTGCGTCTGAGGCACATGTAGGCCAGACCATGTAAGGATAACAGATTTCCTGACAACCAACAATGGTTTCATGATCATTATTAGATTCTTAATCCCAGATATTTATTGAATTCAAATTCCACCATCTGTCCTGATGGGATTTGAACTTGGGTCCAGTGAATAGTACATGGGTCTCTGGATTAATAATTCAGTGATAACACCACTGGGCCATCACTTCCCCACATGGAGGTGATGGGGGTCTTGCCTTTTGGTGTGAGAGTCAGAGATAGCCTTTTTGGGAAGACTCAGGTTCTTTGACACATCAGTGGCAGGTTCAAGGAGCCTCGGGGGGCCGAAGTCCCTCCAATTGAGAATTGAGCAAATCAAAGGCTGGCATATAGAATGACAGCATCACTGGGAAGATTCTGCTGGTACTAAACCCACCAAAAGGCCTAGGACCAGGGTTACAACCAGGCCACAGGTGAGTGATGGCAGAATGGGGTGTAAGGAGGTGGTTTGCAGAGGTGAAGGGGTGATCTTAGAGTGGTTGGCAGCAATGGCAAGGGATGGGAGTCAGCACACACCTCCCCCCCCCATTCTCTTGATAGGCCTGTGAACAAGGGAGCAATCCCCCCATAATACCCCGGTAGTCCACGAACAACCCCACCAGGCTTTATTCCTCAGGCTTCCCATATGTGAGTCATCTGGCCCACTGCAGGGTTAGTACCAGCAGCGGTGGGATCGGACCTTACATGGGCATTAATAAGGTGCACTTAAGGTCCACAGTTAGTGACAGGGTGGGAAAACCATCCACAGGCCTTGCCATCATTGTAAACTCCACCCCCCCGCAAAACTACATCAGGGGAGAGGTCATTCAATGGGTGGAAGTGAGGGACTTTCTTTGCGTGATTTTATTTGCTACCTGATGAGATTGCAGTTACTAAAGGAACTTAAACAGCTGCTGCAGTGTCCCTTTATTGGCAGAATCCAGAACTAGGGAGTCTTCATTTACAAATAAACGGTCACCCAATAAAGACAGAGAAGAGGGAACTTTTTTTCTCTCAAAGAGGGTTGTAAGTCTTTGGAATTCCCTTCCTCAAAATATTTTTAAGGCAGAAGTAGATAGATTCTTGATGACCAAGGGGATGAAAGATTATGAGGGATAAGCAGGAATGTAGAATTGGGGTT